TTTTTTTTTTTTTTTTATGATTACCTGCAGTGTGACCTTTGTCCCTTCGAACTATGCAAGCTCTTAAATGTAAACGAGGGATCGGGGGCGGGGGGGCGGCCGGTGCCGTTGGGTCGGATGGCGGTGGTGCTCTAACCGGAACACCGAGCGATGAGGCGCGGTTTGCGCGCTGCGCGCAGGCGGAACGCAGCTCCGTGTTCTGGCAGCGGTGTTGATGTCACGTAACGGGACTGCGGGGCCGGGAGGGGATCTCTTCTTAAAAGGGGATTTAAGGTTTTTGTAACTGGTTTTTGTTGTTTTATTTTTGTTCCATCAAACTCTAATATTATTGTCAATTTTTTTAGGCGTTTAATTTGTAAAAATAGATTTTGCTTTGTATTGGCGTCCAGAAAATAGGGATTGACTTAAAATTTCTGAAGCCAAGCGATCAAGTACCTTTGTAATAAAAAGTCACTGGATCTGTAACAGCCGTACCGACTGTTTTCATTCCGTGTTCGCGGCCGGGCAGAGCCGCCTCCCCGAGGAGCAGCGGGGGGCAAGAGCGGCGCAGGGCAGCGCGGTGTGTCGGTGCGGCTCCGCGCCCCTCGGCGGAGATCCGGTTGATCCGCGGATCCGCTGAAAGCAGCCACGCTTTTTCATTACGGTTTGTGAAAACATCAAGCCTGGGGTACGTCCTCACTCCACGCTTCTCCCACCTCGATTTCACTCAGTGCCCCAAAACGCTAAAATCGTATTTGGGGAGTTTGGTTCCCGGCATTTAGAACGAAACTCCGCTCTCTGTTGAGGTGAAGTGCTGCACTTTACATCTTCGCAGCCCTTGCCTTCTCCAGGCTCTGTCTCTTTCCCCTCTTCTCCAAGTTGAATGGATAAAACCTTTTTTTCCCCTTATTTTTTCCTTTTTTTTTTTTTTTTTTTTTTTTTTCCTTTTTTCTTTTTAAGTAGAATTGCTGTATGCTTTGGATCAAAGACTTCAGAGGATCCACTGCATTTGGATCCCACACCTTGGCACCGACGCAGTTTGTTTCTTTTTTTTACTTAAAATCCTGACGTCCCGTTGCTCTGAAGGGTGCAGACACAATCGGGCGGCCTCGGCTGTTCCCAGGCTTTGGAGCTGGAAGTGGAAATCCTGATATGAACGTACAAGAACTGCGGGGAATGCTTGTGGGAAATTCAAAGTGCAACCAGAACCAGCCAACCTCCTAGCTTTGCTATTCTGACGTGCTGAAAACAGCCTCCGTTTCTCGTAGGTGAGCTGGAAGTCAGAGGGCAGAAGCAAATTGCCACCTGACTGCATGCTCTTTTTGCTCCTTCAAAACCCTTTTGCTCCCTCCTGGCTTGGACCGTTTGGTCAGAGGTCTCACCTGCCCCAAAAGATGGCAAGTTTCCCTGCTAAAAGGACTCTGTCAAGATTTATTTTTAATTGCAATTTTAAAATCCTGATTTGTATCTTTTTATTTCTTCCCCTTTGTTTGCTTTTCTGTCGGGCTTACCCAGACTTTCCTCTTCTTCTCTTCCGATCCTCCTCTGCTGCCTTCCCTCTGTCTCTGCAGAAATGTAGCTGCGGGCCGCGGCTCTGCTATTGCTTGGTTCTTACAGGGAGCCCCGCGCCAGGCTTTGCACTTCGTGCACATCCCTTCTCTCACCGAAAGTTTTGCTCTCTCGGTTTTGTTCTCTGACGTGCAAGCATGGGTGGAAGGATCAGAACTTTGGGTGGCAGAACGGAGGAGCTGGCTGCACGCGAAGTCCTGTCAGAACGTTTTGACACAAGTGACAAGGTAAACAAGCTGCTTCCATTTTTACCTCGAGTCCCGAAGCTGGCACAATCTCCTGTGCCTCTTGTAACAATGAGAGATAATTTCATCCCAGAGCATTTTTTTCGAGCCGACGGTTCCTTTCCTCTGGTTCCTTTCACATGAGTTAGCTCTCTGGCACCGCAAACTGTTGTGCGTGGGCTGTGAACGTGGCAAGGAAAGGTGTATATATAGTTTTCAACTATTTAAGGCTAATCCAATGAACTCTCCAAACGGTGACATTTCTGAAAATCCTGCTTGAACCGGAGCCCGATCTTTGGACCCGAAGCACGTGGCGTTAGTTTTTCCTTTTGCGTTGGCTCTCCTTTGTCGAAATGACTGAGAGCGCCGGGCTGACAGCTCCTAAAAGCGCTGCTCCCTTCCGGCTGCGGGATTCCCTGCGCCGGAGCGGGACAGCCCTGCGGGTGCGCGCGGGGCTCAGGGCGATGCCGTCTCCCCGCTGTCGCGCTGTCTGTGCCAGCTGGTTGCCCTGGATCTGGTTTGCAAGCTGCTTTCCGCCCGCCTTCCCCTCTTTGTTACTCTTCGGAGGATTTGGGTTCGTGTCGGAACTGTTACAGCGGTACCCGCAGGCCGGGCGGTGAGCCCGCGAGGCAGCGCGGCGCATCTCAGAGCTCGCACAGCGCCAGGGCTGCGAGCACCGCAGGGCCACGCGTCGCTTGGAGCTGCTGCAAGTCGGAGCGCTGTGGATGTCGCGCAGAAGTAGATGCCAAGTGTCAGTTGTTAGCCGTCCCGAGAGTTACTCTACCAACAGCAGGCGCGATATTTTATTGCAGTGGGGACGGCGGTGCTGGGGAGTGCGATGGAAATGTGTGGGCTTTGCCCGCGACGCGGAGGATCCTGCGGCCGCCGGTGAAGGCGCGGAGACTGGAGCGGGGCCGGGCGAGAGGAACCGGCGCTGCGTACCTCTGCTCCCGGCCCGCCGCAGCGCCGGGGCTGCGCGCTCGGCTGAGCCGTCCGAGGGTGCGGAACGTCTCGGCCGGCTCTGGGAGAGCGTGCGGTGGGACGGGGCTCAGGCTCCGAGCCCGAAGGCTGCAGGAGCCTCTTCCCCAGCGCCCCGGCCCTGAGGCTGCCGTGTGCGAAGGGACGGCGGGGGCACAGCCCCGCTCGGGGCCGCAGCTGGGAATGGAGCGGCGGAGCTTCCCACAGCCGCGTCTGTGGGAGCGGGAGATGTGTGGGGAACTCGGGAAGCAAAATGCTGCAGAAGAGGTAGAGCTGAATTCCTGGCACAAGGAATGAGGTGCGTTTTCAGAGTAAACGCCGGCTGGAGATAAGCGAGGAAGAATAAAGATAGAGGACTGACGAGCTTTGAGCGTTGGCTGATGACAACGAGGCAGAGCGAACGGCTGCACGGTCCCAGCAGCCCTGTTCAGATGGACACGGTGGGCACATGTGTGCTGGGGGAGACCGGCCTTGAGCTCGGTCCCCCACGGCCACCCCTATGGCTGGGACTGCATTGTGCCCAGGCCGGGCTTGGGGTGCTGCATGGGGCAGTGCAGGGGACCCAAAGGGCCTCCCCTGGCTCCATCGCTCAGCTCAGGAGCACGCTTGTGCAGAAAATCTTTGTTTTGTGCAGAGCATACCGTTGCAAAATACGTGTCTTAGCCTTGTCTTAGGCTTAGGACATGTAGGAAACTGAAGTGAAAAGAGGGCTGACTGCAACACTGGCACTAAAGGTTTGTTCTGAGCCTTCCTTGCTGAGGTTTTTGTCTGAAACACTACCTGAAAATATGCAGGAAGTGAAGAAAAGCTTCATTCTTTCTGCTGCAGACTGGAGAGGTGAGAGGTGTGGGGTTACTGCAGAGGGCCATGTGCCCTTCTTGGCGGTGCAGGCTGGGAGTGAGAGGCTGTTGGGAGCTGACCTGCCATGGGCACGCCCAAGTGAGCGCTTGTTTAAGAGGTTTGGACCTCTATATGTTGAAATGCTGCACTGGTAAGCACGTTCTCTTCTACGGAGAGCCTATTTGTAAAAGGTGACTGCATGACAATGTTAACTCAAATGAGTTTGGGTTTCCTGTTGGACACGGCAAAGAGACTGCATTCTCAGTCTCCACTGGTGACTGTCAAGGAGTCAAAGCTCATGTCTTTATTGACAGCATCTTGGTGGGTCTGACTATCGAGTGACACTGTTCTGCTGGTGTGTGCCTTGAGGCGTCTCACGCTGTCATGCGGGGTGCAGCCGTGGCTCAAGGTGATGAGCTTGGTGCCCAGGGTGTGGGGCTGGCATGTCTCTTGTGTGCGCAGATCCTGTGTGTCACCAGCAGTGCTGATGCACCACCCAGTGCTGGGACAAAGCTGCAGGCTTTCCTTGGAGGCTGGAGGAGGCTGCTGTGCATCTGTGGAACCACAGAACGTCACGTTGGGTTGGAATGGCCCTTACAGCCCCCCAGCCCCATCCCTGTGGTGGGCCGGCTGCTCTCCAGATCAGGCAGCTCAGGGCCCATCCGTGGCCTGGGTCACCTCGAGAGATGGGGCACCGCAGCTCTCCGTGCAGCAGTGCCAGGGCCGGGTTGCCCCCTCATAAATGTGTCCTGTGTAATCGTACTGCTGGGAGTGGGCAGTGGAGAAAATGAGCAGCGGCATTTTCTTTCTTTCCTTCTTTCTTTCTTTCTCTTCCTTCCTTCTTTCTCTTCCTTCCTTCCTTCCTTCCTTCCTTCCTTCCTTCCTTCCTTCCTTCCTTCCTTCCTTCCTTCCTTCCTTCCTTCCAT